ACATTATAGCTTGCAGCTAGAGTGAGACGAGACATTATAGCTTGCAGCTAGAGGCTTAGTCACAGCAACATGAAATAGATGGCTTGGAACCCGGCTATGGAGCGTTGGATTAACTGGGGATTCATAGTTAGTCCTCAATGAAAGGAGGTTATCGGTGAGGGGGAGGGGGGAGGGTGTTTTAACCCAGGGAGGTTAAATGACAGGTGTTGTTTTAGAGGTAAGAGGGACAAAAATAACATGCCATCTGTTTAGTAATGTGTTAATGGTTAAAATAACTGAGCAAGTTAAAGTATTATATTTTAACATAGCGAGTTAAAATAAAATAGCGCGTTAAAATAAGAAAGGAGTTAAAGTAACACCGAATAACACAGCGTGTTTAATTAGCACGCGTGCTAAAATAACAGCGAGTTAAACTACAAAAAATTGCAACATGGAATTAGCAGGTTAACATAGAGTCAGCAAGTAAACTAAGTGAATGCATGGAGTTAAAATATCATTAGGATGGTGATAGTTAAAATATGCACGAAAACTGCTTAAAGTTACAGTTGGTGTTGTAATAAAACATTAGAGTTATCTTCTCCTCTAGTCTTCATGTCTTGAAATGAATTAACCAAGGGAATGAACTTTGAAAAAATCTTTTTTTTTTAAATCAAGATTATATAAAAAACATTGACTGACTTTATTCTTGTAGAAATATTCATTGTGGCGTATATTTTTTTTATAACCAGAGAAATAAAATATAACTTAAAGTCAGCTTTACAAAAAAAAATGTAGCCAATATTTTTCTAAATTTAAAAAACAAGTTGACAACCATGTCTGAAGCTAAACAAGATCTTGTAAATAAATCTAAAATTGTTTTATTATTAACACTGATATTAGCATTTGTATTCACAGCTTGACCGATTGTTTTAATGCTGAGTTTGACGTCGCACTACTCAGCCGTGTCTTCTATTATTTAAGCTACTCTCTCCCTTCATTAGGGTGGGGGTACAGGGTGGGGATGGACAATTCAGCAGCTGTCGCATTGAGTAACATGCTAATCAGCATAAATGAAAAGCCTATCTACCAAAGCATGCCATATTTTTTTATAATATATATTTCAGTGTCTTATTAAAATATCATTTACTGTCGTTAATAAACAAGCATTCAATATTCTTGATAAACTTTCAAATTTGGTTGAAACATTATTCAAGACTTTTGAATAAAAAAACACTAGCCGTCCCGGCCAGGCCCTGCTCTGGCTTCTGTGAAAAACCTTTCTGTTAAAGACCATTACCTGTGTGTTTAGTAATCATCATAAACCCGGCATTGCCCACCCAAACCACAACCAACCAAAACAACAAAACGCAAACATAACGCTAACACAATTACAAATACAAACGAAAACAAAAACCTAACAACAAACCCAACCACAAACACCAATACCAACAAAAAAAAAAACAACAACGAAAAAGCTAACGAAAACAAACCAAATCCAAACGCAAAACCAACCAAAAACACAAATACAAACCCAAACAAAAAAACACAAACAAAAACGAAAAAAGAAAGAACAAAAACGAACCAAATCAAAACGCAACCACTAACGCAAACCCACCTAAACACAAAGAAAACACTAACGCGAACATAAACGCCCGGGGCGGAATCACCTGTTTTAGCTTAATGAACGACTATAGTACCCCAACTTATTCATAGTCTTTTACACTCACTTAAACGAACGCGCCTGTTTCAATTTGATGAACAATTATAATACTCCAAGCTTACCCGTAAAATACCTACAACATTTGCACTTGATCAATCCCCGCTAATTATGTAATTATTTTTTTTTCCCAACACCAAAACAAAGTAATTAAAAAGTAAATTATTTTCCACAAAATGCAATGGTTTTATAAAGGGAAGTAATTGTGTTTTCCTAATTTATCAAAGGGAAGTAAGTGCTATAGGACTAAATAAAGACATAATTAGAATGTTTTTAAAAGATGATATTTTTTTAAAACTTGTGTTTAATGAACATGCCGACAATTATTACTATAATTTGAAAAATGAAAATTATTTCCCAACACTTTCAATAGTAATTTTTTAGCTCATAAATTTAGACAAATGCGCACGATAATTTTCTAACACTTAAATTCATCCAAGACCAACGACAAACATATGCATTACATACAGAACTGAGCTTTATATATTAGACTAGCCGTCCCGGCCAGGCCCTGCTCTGGCTTCTGTGAAAAACCTTTCTGTTAAAGACCATTACCTGTGTGTTTAGTAATCATCATAAACCCGGAATTGCCCACCCAAACCGCAACCAACCAAAACAACAAAACGCAAACATAACGCTAACACAATTACAAATACAAACGAAAACAAAAACCTAACAACAAACCCTACCACAACCACAAACACCAATACAAACACAAAGAAAAAACAAACAAAAAAGCAAACGAAAACAAAAACCTAACAACAAACCCAACCACAAACACCAATACCAACAAAAAAAAACGAAAAAGCAAACGAAAACAAACCAAATCCAAACGCAAAACCAACCAAAAACACAAATACAAACCCAAACAAAAAAAAAACACAAACAAAAACGAAAAAAGAAAGAACAAAAACGAACGAAATCAAAACGCAACCACTAACGCAAACCCACCTAAACACAAAGAAAACACTAACGCGAACATAAACGCCCGGGGCGGAATCACCTATTTTAGCTTAATGAACGACTATAGTACCCCAACTTATTCACAGTCTTTTGCACTCACTTAAACGAACGCGCCTGTTTCAATTTAATGAACAATTTTAATACTCCAAGCTTATTAGTAAAATACCTACAACATTTGCACTTGATCAATCCCCGCTTATTATGTAATAATATTATTTTTTTCCCAACACCAAAACAAAGTAATTAAAAAGTAAATTATTTTCCACAAATGCAATGGTTTTATAAAGGGAAGTAATTGTGTTTACCTAATTTATCAAAGGGAAGTAAGTGCTATAGGACTAAATAAAGACATAATTAGAATTTTTGTAAAAGATGATATTTTTTTAAAACTTGTGTTTAATAAACATGCCGACAATTATTACTTTAATTTGAAAAATGAAAATTATTTCCCAACACTTTCAATAGTAATTTTTTAACTCATAAATTTAGACAATTACGCACGATGATTGTCTAACACTTAAATCCATCCAAGACCAACGACAAACATATGCGGTACATACAGAACTGAGCTTTATATATTAGATTTAAGAATTTTGTGGGGTTTTTTTAATTTATGTTTAAAGATTTCTATATCAAACACTCCGATGTTCTTCTTTTTAAACGTATTTCTCTTATTAGAGAACTAATCAACTGTATTTTTACCCACTTAAAAATCAAGATGGACCTAATTAAAATAGACTTTTGTTGAACTAATTAGTCTAATTATCAACCCACTGTTTTGTAAACAAACATGTGGTGATTAGACGCGAGGCGACACATCTTAGTAAAAGTACTCTAACACGATAATGGGGGCACACGACCCGGTCCGGTTTAGCCCGGTTTAGAAACGGTTTCCGTGTTAATGGCTGCTTGCTCGGACTTTTACACCACTGGACTTCCGGATATGGTGATGAAGTGTGAGAAACGTAAAGGAAACGGCTCCATTAGGTTTCTTTGGCCGGCGGAAATCGCGATTCTTTTGTTGATGGCTACCCGTTTATTTATGGTGATTAATGTTTTGCGTTTATTTGAGTTTGATGACAGGCTATTTTTGTTGTTGTAATTTATTGCCGTGGGATTTTGTTAACTAGCTCAAGGATTAGATTATTTATTGTAGTCTTTACCACTCCCCTCCCCTCTAGCACAATCAGCAGAGATAGTGGGTGCTTGGAGTACTTAAACGATAAGTAAATTAATACGAAAACTACTAGTAGAAGATAATTGAACGTGAATGTTCCAATTCTGGAATCGGCTAGAGCTTCTGTAGATAACTAAATGCAGAAGGGAAATAGCTGACAACATAATTTCAGGGTCATCGGCTGTTGGACCAAAGACTTTGGCTAAACTTAGTTTTTTCTTTGAGTAAGTTTTTTTAGTCCAATAGTTCACCCAGACTATGGGATATCAGGCCATCGTCTCCTTGGGACATCTGTCTTTCAGTAAAGCCTTCATTTAAGTAAGTAGTAAGCGAAGTACCATTTCGAACCTGAAGGTCCATAGGGCAGATGAAGCAGAGTTCACCTGTTTAGTTTCGGCATATAGTGATGATACAACCATGACGAGCCGCTGATACTTTCCTTAACGTGAGTCAGGTACCCATCAGAGCTGAGTGGACTCGGGCACGTTCTACTGACAATAGCCGGCGATTCGAACTAGACACTTTCGAGTTAGCAGTGTCATGCTCTACCACCCGACCAGGCCGCCCCACAAATCCATTAAGACAATCAGAATTCCAGCAGTAGTCCTGTCAGTCAATTGGCTTTTGGCAAATCGTCTATTTAGGTAATCAATTTTCAGGCGTTGTTTCATTTGGTCAATAGACTTTCCACAAATGTTTTTCGGACAAACATGCGGTACCCATTATTACATACGTCTTGGTAGTAAAGAAAAAAAATCCCAACTTAGCGTTTCTTTTTCTTCCTTCAGAACTGAATGGTTTTTATCTTTAAAAGTCCTTGTGCTTTATAGCATTGTTGTGTTTGATAGTTACAGGTAGGTTTAACGTCCGCTTTTTCCGACTAGTGGTTAACATGCATTATGTTGTCAACAAACCCACAACTACTCATCGATGAGATTGTGTTATTTGAGGTGTCAATGTGCGCTAGCGAGAGAGAATATCACGGGAATAAACAAAAGTTCACAACACAACATTGGGTAGCTCTCAACGCTTGAGGTCTCTGTTCTCAGTTGATGAGCTTTATTAGAGCATGTCGCATCTGTGCGTTCTGTGTGTTCTGGAACATGTTGCTTGTTCATGTTCTATGTTTAATTGTACTCACCATTATTTTTCCCTGCTCCACAGCGTGCCTTTGTTGAAACATCTGCCTTCAGAAAAACTGGCCAAAATTGCGGATGTTTTAGAATACGTAAGTAGTTGAAGAGATGTACAACCTTTTACTGACGCTAACATCTACTTCAGACGTATTTTCCTTTTCAAAATCTGTTCTTTTCTCATTAAAAAAACAAAAAAAAACAACTGCACTGAATTAGTTCCTCTAATTTAAAAACAATAACGCATATTTTTTTCTCTTTTTATTCTATTCTTTCCTTCTCTCTTTCTCTCCTTTCTTTCTTTATATATATATATATATATATATATATATATATATATATATATATATATATATATATATATATATATATATATATAGATATATATATATATCTGTTTACTTAGGATTTCTTCCATGAAAATGAATACATTATAAGAGAAGGGGCTGCGGGTGATACCTTTTTCATCTTAAATAAAGGGGAGGTAAGTTATATATATACTTTTTTATATATTATCTCAAACAAAGGGAAAGTAAATCTTACGATGTGTTTACCTTCCATCTCATACCAAGGGGACACACGTCTTAGGTTTTGTTGACAAAGTAAATGACCATCAAGACAAGAGTGTGTTTACATTAAACAGGGGGGGGGATGAGAGTCGGATGGGCACCGCTGTCTACTCCTATCTTTTCTATCCTGCCCAGTACATAATTTAATTATAGCACCAAGTTATCATATTTGTAAAAACATTGTTTTTTTATATTACATTTTTTTAAAAATTCCGTTATCTTTAGATAAACATGTTATACAATCCGCTAAGCAAATTTTAGATTTTAAATTTAAAAACAATTCCCACCCTCAGGCTTTTCTAGACTTAGATATCATTGCCTCCGGATCCAAATCCCCCCCCCTCCCTCCCCTACTCCCATACACCTTCCCCCACCCCTCCCCGTCCATCAATGTTTTACATGCCACTGCCTTTGGGCGGAAATCTTCTTTGTTTCTTGTTAATTAACTTCCCGTCCTTCCTTCCGCCAAGTCCCGCATCAAAATTGAAGATAAAAATACAGTCTTATTCTAACTGCGCTTTCCTTTAAAAAACAAAGCATGCCAGATTTTTTTTAAAGAAAAAAAAAACAATAATCGTTTCTCTTTTACTTCTAAATTATTTCGTCGTAAATAAGGTCATTGTTTTTAACATGTGTGAACTTATTTATATCTCAAGTAAAGGGAAACCACTTTTTATATCTTCTTAACTTCATCCCTTACTGGATTATAGAATAGGATTTTTGTTTTAATCTTTGAACTTTAGCAAGAGTGAATTATACCCTGTTTTCTTATGTGCGGGACGTGAGTGAACAAAGAAATGTTTTTAAATCAGCTGCCTACTATCTAGCATTGACATTTACTAAATGGAAAACATATATAGGACGTATATTTACAACTGAATGCAAAACATATTTATTACCTATATTTACAAATAAATGCAAAACACATGTAGGACGTATATAACTGAATGGAAAACACATTTAGGACGTATATTTACAACTAAATGAAAAACACATATATTTATAACTATTGGGAACACATTTAGGACGTATATAACTGAGTGTAACACTAATTTACGACCAAACTTTTTGACCAAACTTCACATTTCTGACGTAATTTCATTATTTTTTGCTTAAATACAGATTTATTACCTACATTCACATTTTATAAAAATACACATTTACGCCGTAAAAACAGATTTTTATCCTATGTACACATTTTATTTTAAAGAATACAGATGTCGGAAAAAAACACATATTACGGATATTTAGCGTAAGTATTTTATTGTAGACCTAGGGCAAATTCGATACAATAATCCGCTCTTATGTAAGCTCTCCATACGATTAGCCTAAAGTCAGAGTTTTTATTTGGTCGAGGAAGTTAATTATACTTTGTCTCGGTGTTGTTGTTTTTAAACAGATTGAATTTGTTCTCTGACATAGACTGTCACTTCGGTATAAAATGTCATTTACAAAATTAGAAACAAGTTTGTGATAAACAAAAAAAATTACTTTGAATAAAAACAAAACAAAAACCACTTAAAAACATCTTTAAAAAAACATTTATGGTGAAAACAGTTAAAAAGAATTTGAGAACAGAGCAAATGACCCCTACACACCCCGTGCCCTGCTCCCTCCCCCTCCCCCCCCCCCCCCGAATGTAAGAAACTGTACCCTGTAAACTGACGCCTCCTGCGTCCACTCCTGAACACAGTCACGTGCCATATGGCACCGATGGTGAGCAAGTTTCAGCACTTAACCGCGGTCATCGCTCACTCCATTTTTTTTAAACGGACCACTTGAGACCAGTGCAGATCTGAGTGCCCTCTGTCGCCACTTGCCGCTTCTCACAGATATTACAGTCGTCCAGAGTCTAGATCTTGGACACTTGGCGAATCAATGTCTGGTCTTCTGTCAGCATTTCTGTTTCACACACACACATACACACACACACACACACACACACACACATATATATATATATATATATATATATATATATATATATATATATATATATATATATATATATATATAGGCCTATATATATATATATATATATATATAGGCCTATATATATATATATATATATATAGATATATATATATATATATATATATATATATATATATATATATATATATATTGGCCTATATATATATATATATATATATATATATATATATATATATATATATATAATATATATATATATATATATATATATATATATATATATATATATATATATATATATATATATATATATATATATATATATATATATATATATATATATATATATGAAAAACTTTTTTACCCACCTCCAATGACAAATACCATGCTTACACAATATTTTGTTAATTACATGCACGCATTACATAAAAAAATCTTTTCACCAGTGTTGTGTCCATTTGATCCATTCAGGTCAAGGTGACCCAGATGATAGCTGGCCATGCGGAACCGAAGGAAGTGCGACGATTGAAGCGTGGCGACTACTTTGGTGAAAAAGCTTTATTAAGGTAATCAGGGATTTGCTATAGCCGCTAGGATTAAAAGATCAGTGTGGAATTAGGGTTAAGACATTAACGTGGCCTTAGGGTTGGAAACATGTTTAGACGACAGATTACAATTTCACCGCCAAATGTAAAACGTGGATATCTTTGATTTGCAACATAGCTGTGAACGCGATTTAAACAGAACGCTATAAAATAGAAATTATTTCTAGAAAATGTAACTTACTTTGAACGAAAACTTAATTAATTTAATAATACTTTATCGATTTTGTTTTCGTTGTCGATATTCGCTTTTAATTTTGTACTATAGAGCAGACTCCAAGAATGTCGAACTGTTCTAGTTCCCATAATAGGCCTGTAATTTAAATTAAAAAAAAACAACATCGTCCTTCCTCGTTCTAATTCTATTGACTGACGCTGACCTTTTGCCGCAACACCTACTTATTAAGCTTCCCATGTTAGTTTCAGCGGGGCTGGGAATTAAAGACAAATAAATAAAAAAAAAGCCGAGAGGACTAAGGGGGTGACTGGAGAGACATAGAGTCTGTAGGGTTTCTTCCGTTTCTCCAGAAGACATTCTTCAATGCCAAATAAAACATATCGGTCTCTTTCTCTGGGTGGTTTTTCCTCGGGGATCAATGATTAAAAACTGACCCTAAGTCGAAGCCTGGTAGTGGTGTGGGGGTTTATGTTGTGTTAGGGAGGGAAGGTTGGTGGAGGGGTAGTTGAGAGACTGATTAATGAACAGCGACTGAGATAAACAATGTAAGAGATCTATTCATGTTTATGGTGTAAACTAGATCTATACCTGTTTATGGTGTAAACTATATATATATATATATATATATATATATATATATATATATATATATATATATATATATATATATATATTGTAATATAGATATATACATGTATATGGTGTAAACTAGATCTATACTTGTCTAAGTATTAGCGACTACGCTTGTTACATAAATAAATATCATGTGGAAAAACATGGGCTTCTCATGTGCTAGTTGTTATTATTATTTTGGAAGACTAACCTTATTATTTTTTATTGTGTCGTAAGAAACAAGATGTGCTATAGGCATGATCATGAATTGAGCACCAAATTATGAAATATTTTATGTAAATATTAAACTAGTTATCAAAAGTAATTTTATTTCTCTAAGTTAGGAATAGTTGAAGGACGTTTTTAAAAAAACCTGTCCTGTGAAATTCGTTTATTAACTACTTAGTTACTGTATGGGCCTATACAGTGGGGTGATCAGATGATTTAGAAATAGTTTACCTATAGTCTGGTATGTTCGATTGTGGTTTTTTATTCAGTTTAGTTTGTTATACATCTAATGAAGAAAACTTGAAATGCCTTGTATATGAACTATGGTTATCATTAATTTTATAACTCCAATAAAAAAAAAACACAAAAAACAGTCATTATATAATTTTGTATGCTGTGTACTGTTTTAATTTTTAAAAAATATAATTTAAAATAAAGCTAAAATGAACTGTTAAATAATTTATTGATGTAATATGCCATGTTTTTCATGTATATGTCTTCTGTTCTCTTCTCCAGTGAAGACCGTCGGACGGCCAATGTGATAGCCCTGCCCCCTGGTGTAGAGTGTCTGACCGTCGATAGAGAGTGAGTAGATCACGTGACATCATCCCAGTAGCGTAGCGAGGGAGGGGGGGGGGGCGGGGGGACATATGTCCCCGGGCGCCGAGCTTAGGGGGCGCCAAAATGGGTTGGAAAAATAAATTGAAAGGTTGAGGGGGGTGTGCAAATCAAAATCTCGAGGGGGGGGGGGGGGTGCAAATCGAAAGTTTGAGGGGTGGGGGTGCAAATCAAAATCTCGAGGGGGGGTGCAAATCAAAAGTTTGAGGGGGGTGCAAATCGAAATCTCGCGGGAGGGGTGCAAATCGAAAAGTTTGTCCCCGGGCGCCGGGAAGGGTCGCTGCGCCTCTGCATCATCCTAAACCCCTTGCCTAATACACTCTCGGGAAATAATAATAGATGGTGGAGATATTTAGACCAGATGGTGTTATTGGAGTCAGTTTGCCGTATACCAAGAAATTCCTAATTAAAAATACAATTTGTAAAACTAAACAGAAGTATTTGATTTCATTCCCAGTCCAAGAATTTCCATTTAAATTTTTTTCTTTTGCGGTATTTATTTCTTTACCCAACTTCACGCGTTTAATTTAAATCCTGTTTTTTTTTAATTTAGCGAATAAATTAACTAAAGAAATTTAATATCTCGATAGGGTTTTTAATTTCCGTTGATGAAGTTTTTTAAACTCATTTTTAAAATGAAACTGAAACACGTCATATAATACAACTGTTGATGCTTGTAAATATTAAGAAAAAAAAGTGTATAGTAATTGTAAAACAACTACTTAGAATCTAAAGCTGCTGTGTTTATTAAGTGGGCTAGGGCCTCAGTGGGGAGTGGGGGATGCGGGAGGGGTTGAGGTTGGGGGGGGGGGTTGAGGAGGGGTGTTAGTATCATCATTAAGTTGGAAAAAGATGAGTATCATTTTTTAAAATTAGATAAAATTTTCACACATGCGATATTTCCAATGTGTAGTTCTCCCTTTCACTAGTAGTATTTGTGTAATTAACAAAGGATCCCCTAGAACCATCACCACAAGTTACCGCCCTCTACATTGGGCGATAGAGAGGTGTGGTTGCCTCCCTATGCTCCACAAGAGTTCCACAGGAATAATGGTGACACTGGGCGCTAGGAATTCCCTGCTTCAAAATATAACATACAATCTGATTTTTTTTAAAAAAACAACACCCCCCCCCAACATTTTGACCAAGGGAGATAATAGCCGAACAGACACTGTGATAAATTGTACATATCGATTATAGGCCACAGTTGCCGCCCTTGGATTTGTCACTAGAAACTATTTAGTATTACATCATAGGAGGGTGAAGTTTTTCACCATTTATTATATTCTTTGTACAATCTGGCAACAGTCATATATATATATATCTATCTATATATCTATATATATATCTATATATCTATATATCTATATATATATCTATATATATATATATATATATATATATATATATATATATATATATATATATATATATATATATATATATATATATATATATATATATATATATATATATACTAGCGTACCCGACCCCCGCGCGTTGCCGCGGGGATATAAGAAAGTTTGACGAAATATATTAGGATTTCACCAACGCGTTATCAATTATAATTATATGTTCTTAGACGCGTGACCTTCTTTTCTAAAAATGAGTTATTTAAATGTAAACAATTCCTGTTCTTGGATCATAAATATCAGGACACGGGTTTACCTACACTACGGCATGAAAACCTTGAGTGTACATTAATCACTCACCGAAATAATTTGGTAACACACTTCGGTGACCGCCTCTGTGTCAGAGCGTAAAGGGGCGTTCTCAGGCCCCCCCCCCACCCCCGATTACACTACCGCATAGGCGCGGCGTACGACCCCTGGCTCCTTAAAAGTAATAGGCGCCATCGTGCCAAATAGCATCCTGTTAATAATGATGCAGATTTCATCATTCGCTAAAGTGCCACAAATGAACAGGCTTTTTTTCTTTAACACGTAAAAAAGTATTTGACGTGTTTTAAACCGTGCGGCGTCAATTCGGCCAATGACGAAACGGCCCCGTCAAAACGACCCCGACAAAACGACCCCGTCAAAACGACCCCGTCAAATCGGCCCCGTCAAAAGGGCCAGCGACATATGGACCCCGTCATATAGGCTCCCGACAAATAGGCTCCCGTCATTTAGGCTACCGACAAATAGGCTCCCGTTATATAGGCTCCCGACAAAAGGGCTCCAGTCAATAAGGCTCCTGACACATAGGCTCCCGTCATTTTGGCTCCCGACATATAGTCTCCCGTCATTTAGTTTTTTCCACAAAACGGCCCCCGTCATTACGACTCCCGACAAATAGGCTCCCGCCATTTAGTTTCTCCACAAAACGGCCCCCGTCATTACGACTCCCGACAAATAGGCTAGCGTCATTTTGGCTCCCGACAAAAAGGCTCCTGTCAATTTGGCTCCAGACAAAAGGACCACTGACACAGTGGCGTAGCTACCGTAAAGCTAGCGTAAGCAAGGCATATGGGCCCAAGGCACATAGGGGCCCTTTTCCCTCATAAAAAATTAAAATTTTTACAATGGAATTTTAATTTTTGTTACATATAAATAATTTAAAAAAAGAAAAAGGTTAAAAGTTCCAAAAAGCCCCCCCCCCCACCTTTTCGGCAGTGGGATTCAGTGTTTGTGGGTCAAACAGAGCCCAATCGTTATAATAACACTACAGGCTATATCACTTTGTCATGCAAGACATTGAGAGAATCAGCCTATAAATAAACTTTTTAGCAGTAGTAGGCAAGCATTATAATATAGTATAAATACAAAATCGGGACATATAAATACAAAATGTTGCCTTCAGAATATTTATATATTAAAAAATATCCATCGTAAGTAGAAGTTGATCTCTTCGTTTAACTCCTCTGTAGCCTAACTCAGAGGCGTAGCGAAGGCGAGGTGGGGGGTGCGGACCGCAACGGGTGACACCATTTAGGGGGGGGGGGTGACACCAAAGGCAAAAAATTGTAAAATTTATAGAATGAAATGCCATTTTCCAAATCCATTAGTTAAAGTTAAATAGTCTTCTAAGTACGAATCGAAAATTATATCAAGAGGGGGGGGGGGGGTGTGACACCACGACGTAAACGTAAACTATAAAGAAAACAATGCTACATCCAACGGTATCATAAACAGACTGTAGATAAACATCGTTACTATTAAGTCAGCAGTGATTAAAGCTTAAACACGTACGTGTACCAGTATGTGGCATATATATAAATTTTAGGCCTATGTAGGCCACACACACACACACACACACACACACACACACACACACACACACACACACACACACACACATATATATATATATATATATATATATATATATATATATATATATATATATATATATATATATATATATATATATATGCTTTGTTTCCTGGGAGGGGGGTGACAATACGAAGTGCCGCACCGGGTGAGACCCGACCTAGCGACGCCACTGGCCTAACGGCTGACGAAGGGGCCCACTGATAATTTTTGCATAGGGGCCCAAAAATCCTAGCTACGCCACTGCACTGACAATATCGTTTCTGTAGAGACTAAGTCTCCCGGCAAAGCGGTCTCATTGAATATGACATCTGCCAGTGGGACCCCTTCATCAATATTCTTTAGAGTTAGCTTATCCAACACTCTTATGTAATACAACGTATGCATCTCTTGTTCGGCAGGCCTTATTTTTATATTAGTTTATCTATTATAAAATATAGTATGTTTTAATTTAAGGGTCATCTATCTATGACATCCGTAATTGAGTCGGTTATAGGCTGTTCCAACTCATTGTGTGGGGAGAAGGGTCCACGCTGTACCTTCCTAACTGCAACATGCTTGTACAGGGGCGTAGCGAGGGGGGGGGGGCGGGGGGGGGGGGTGACACCAAGGCAAGAAATAGCAAAATATATAGAGAAAAAATCGAAAGTTTGGGGGGGGGGGGTGCAAATCGAAAACTTGAAAGTTTGTCCCCGGGAAGGGTCGCAACGCCTCTGGGGGGGGGGGGGGGTGACACCATTAAGTGCAGCACCGGGTGACACCCGACCTCGCTACGCCACTGTGCTTGTAGGTTATCAAAACAAAATGCTGTTATCATGTTAACATCATGTATATCATACATTTACACTTCTGTGCTCGCTTTTAAGCAACAGATCTTTTCTGTTGTAAATTAAACATTATCAAAACTTTAGAATTGGTGGAATTTAGCTGTTAAGGGCTCGATTTGTTTGTGAATTAATGTTGGTTCATGAAAAAAATAATTTCATTCGGGCATTAAAAAGAGGTTATGGTGGTATTGGAGGTAGGACACAATGGTTACTTTTATGCCAATAGTGGTCACATCATTCATTTTTCTGGAGCCAATATGTCGGGAGTCATTTTGTCAAAAGCCAATATGTCGGGAGCCCAATTGCCGGGAGCCAATATGTCGGGAGCCCATTTGTCGGTAGCCAAAATGTCGTGAGCCCATTTGCCGGGAGCCCATTTGTCTTGAGCCCTTATGTCGGGAGCCAATATGTCGGGAGCCGCTTTGTCGGGAGCCAATATGTCCTGAGCCTATTTGTCAGGGGTTAATATGTCGGGAGTCCATTTGTCGGGAGCCTAAATATCGGGAGCCCATTTGTTGGGAGCCCATATGTCGCAAGTCAATATGACGGGAGCCCATTTGACGGGAGCCAATAAGTCGGGGCCCTTTTGACGGGGCTATTTTGACGGGGTCGGTTTGTCGGGAGTCGATTTGACGGGGTCGTATTAACGGGGCCGTTTTGACGGGGCCGATTTGTCCCGGGCCGTTTTGACAGGGCACCGTTTTAAACATCAGTGTGACTGATGCAATATGCTAGCGTTACTAATGGTCTATTATTAGATGCTCGATCTCAATTTCTGACTGGATTGTCTAATAGTAGATGTTTATTGCATCATTCGCAAAGTGACGAAACTCTACAGTAGGCTCTCAAAAAGTTATTTTTTCATCTTTCGCAAGGTGACGAAACCGGACAGAAGGATTTCCTTCGCGTTACAAAGTTATTTTTAGAAGCCTGTTGTAGTTTTACCGCTGAATATAGTAGTACACCTTACTCACTATGCAGGACGCTCGATTAACGGATGCCAAGTGCCAACATAGTCGCTCTAAAACTCTGGGCGCCAAACCGTTGTTGACGAAAATTGTACCCTCCATGGCGCCGCCCATAAAACATTTTAGGTGTTTTTTTCACAGAAATATTCTCGGGAGTATTCTCATCTACTTTCCAAAGTTTTATGGCACTCAGATGAACCGCATTCGAGTTTTATTTTTATAAACCGTATATGGTGAAAAATCGCAACCTCCCGTGGCGCCGCCCTTGCGAAATTAAAAAGGATTTTTTTTTACAGAACCCTCCCCTAGAGTGGTATAATGAACTCCCCAAAGTCGAATGGCTATCGGATGAACGATGACAAACCAAAATCGACTTTCATTTTTATATACCGTATATAGCGAAAAATCGCACCCTCCCGTGGCGCCGCCCTTGCGAAATTAAAAGTTATTTTTTTACAGAATCCTTCCCTAGAGTGGTATAATGAACTCGTCAAAGTTTCATGCCTATCGTGTCAACGATGTCACTGTAATTCACTTTTATAATTTTATTATACCGTATATAGAGAAAAATCACACCCTCCCGTGGCGCCGCTCTTGCGATATTAAAAATGATTTTTTACAGAACCCTTCCCTGAATTGCTCTAATCAACTCCCCAACGTTTGACGGCGATTGGATGAACAGTGTGAATCTGCAATCGACTCTTATTTTTTATATACCGTTTATAGAGAGAAAACAAATCGCGCCCTACCGGAGCGCCACCCCTGCGAATTTGAAAATGTATTTTAAGCAGAAACCTCCTCAGGAACATTCTCAACATATTCCCAAAGTTTGATGGCGATCGTGTGAACGGTGTCACTGCAATTCACTTTTATTATTTTTATATACCATATATAGAGGAAAATCGCACCCTCCAGTGGCGCCGCCCTTGCGAAATTAAAAATTATTTTTTTACAGAACCCTTCCTTAGAGTGTTATTATGAACTCCCCAAAGTCTAATGGCTATCAGATGAACGATGTCAAACCAAAATTGACTTTTTATTTTTATATACCGTATATAGAGAAAAACAAATCGCGCCCTGCCGGGGCGCCACCCCTGCGAATTTGAAATTTTTTTTTTCGCAGAAACCTCCCCAGGAATATTCTCAACAACTTCCCAAAGTTTCACGGCGATGTGATGAGAGGTGTAGTAATGCATAAAGGACAAACACACACACAAACACACACACATACATTGCTTTATATATATATATATATATATATATATATATGTGTGTGTATATATGTATATATATGTATATATATATTAAAAAATTCTGTATATGGTTAGATACCAAATGAAACCGTAATGACTATATTTTGTCTATGAAATATATGTTGTCTACGGTACATATACCGCTGGTATGTTGTATTGACTAAGACACATATATCGCTGGTATGTTGTATTGACTAAGACACATACCGCTGGTATGTTGTATTGACTAAGACACATATATCGCTGGTATGTTGTATTGACTAAGACACATATATCGCTGGTATGTTGTATTGACTAAGACATATACCGCTGGTATGTTGTATTGACTAAGACATATACCGCTGGTATGTTGTATTGACTAAGACACGTGTATGACTGGTATGTTGTATTGACTAAGACACATGTATGACTAGTATGTTGCATTGACTAAGACACATGTATGACTGGTATGTTGTATTGACTAAGACACATGTATGACTGATATGTTGTATTGACTAAGACACATGTATGACTGGTTTGTTGCAGATCATTCACGAAACTTATAGGCGATCTGAATGAATTACGTAACAAAGATTACGGGGACGAGGCTCGCGGCGCTGAAAGGTGTGTATTCATTGTGTGTTGTGTGTGTTGTGTGGGTGTGTTGTGTGTATACATTATGTGTCTTGTGTGTGTTGTGCATATACTTTGTGTGTATGTGTTGTGTGTGTGTTGTGTGTCGTTCTTGTCAACGTTTATTTTGTTATGTACAAGAGAGTTGCTTAAGCACTCAAGTATATTCCTCTGTTTGATGTGTGTTTTTATGATTTTGATTATTGTTTGATATACAAGTGATCCCCTGGGTCGGTCTCATAATTATCAAAACAACACTAGTGCAACAACGTTATATGCTCCTCATTAGGACCTAGATTGATTATGTTTCTCATTAGGGCCTAGATTGATTATGTCTTTCATTAGGGCCTAGATTGATTATGTTTCTCATTAGGGCCTAGATTGATTATGTTTCTCATTACGGCCTAGATTGATTATCTTCCTCATTAGGGTCTAGATAGACTATGTTTTCAAACGCAGCAGATCAAAGTAAACCATTTGGTCTTGCGGTTCATACTTTACTGAGATCAATCATATTTAAAATTAATTAATCAAATTTCAAGATTCAGAGTAGCCCATACCACCACACAGCAGCAGGCTAAATTAGCCACATTTATAAAACCAACTACAGGCTAAATTAGCCACAACACTACAATCCTCTACAGCGTAAATTAACAACAACACTACAACCAACTTTCTGGCTAAAACTGGCCACATTATTGCAATCAACTATTCTAAATTAGCCACCAATCACCGGTTAAATTAGCCAGACCGCCCCCAACAACCTTTAGCCCCTATGTTGCATGAAAAAATTCCAACTCTGACCCTTCAATCTTTCCTATGCCTTCCCACTACATAGACCAGAAAAATGCAGGTGAGTAGATAAGAGCAGTTCGATGTTTTTTTTATCTTACACACATTCGTTACCTGTCTATAAACATAACTGGAAGTTTCATTATTAGAACCAATAGCCTCCAATGACTCAGTTTTAATTATTTGGTCGTCATAGCCCTACTTTTAATCCTAGTTTGTTTATGTCGATCGCACTATCTCCACATCTGACAAATTTATGTTTCTATTGACTCAACAATACACTACACAATTCAAATCACTAGGTATTTATTTATGAAAAAAAAACTTGTCATTTTGGATATCGAAATTGGCTGAATATGAGCTGATGAGAAAGTCAATATTTAATCTCCACCAATAAAAACACAAGGATGAATTTTTTTGTAACCAATCAATAAAATCCGGATTTTTTAAAAAGTGATGTATCAAAATATAAGTGACGATTTTAAAAATAAAAATAAAAAACAACTGATTGGAAAGGATATCGAAAGCTGTTTATTCGTCATTTCCATTATTTGTTGGGACGTCGACTTTTCGTACATATCGGAAAGATGTTACAGGTATTAGTAACGTTTGATCTTAGTAACGTTTGATCTAGGTACTCTATTACTTAATGACCACCAACATATCAAGTATCTAGATTTAGTACATTAGGGAAAAATAATATGAAGCCGTCTCACTTTTGAAAGCTGTAAGAAACTCGGTCCTTCAAATAGATCTGGAACTCTAGTAGTAGAAATGAAGTAGGAATCGATATACAAGACGTTTTCTGAACTTATTCAGTGTTAATTCATAAGGCCAAACTAACGTCACATTTTAATAACATTTAAAAATTAATACGTTAGTTCACTAGCATTTATTTCAACTCACACACTAGTACATTTTAATGTTTAACTGTTTAATCTTCTATAAAAGGAATCCTTATTTACCACTGAATGTTATTGTCTTCAACCTACCCTAACTACGATTTATCCAGTTACCTCCCTTAATTGTTGTAGAGTTAGTTCCCTTTCATGTTTAGCCTCCCATTTTGTCGCTATTATTTGTTAAACTTGTTTAGTTTCTTAAGATACCATCACACCAAGGGCAGAACCAGCGGAAACAACTCGACCCCGGGTTCATGGTAAACAAAAGTGACCTTTCCAATGTTTGCTTCCGACCAACACTTCTAACTCTATCCCGTTTTCAGCTTTTGATTCTCAATGCAACTGCATAATTTTTTTTAATTAAATAAAACACTAATCACAACTTGTGTGGTTTAAAAAAACAATCTAAAATTGACTGTGTTTAATTTTTAACTTAACCTGTATTAAATTTGCATTAACTAAATCCCTCACCCTTAATTTAACACCAAATTTTGATCAAAATATTATAGCCTACATACAAAAAATACATATACAAATAAAATTTGGTTACATGAACGACTATATCCAATCCATGGACAATTATTCTAGTTTTTGTGTGAATAACTTCAGCACTATGCTAAGTGTTCTTTAACGCACACATTTTCCAACAATGTAGCAAGATGTACACATTAGTTTATCCTAACATACACTTACATATCCAACATAAATAACCCACATGCCCATCCAGTGGTTCTATATTTATAAATCAGATTCCATTTCGGCAACATATACCACTAATCCATATTAATCTATGCATATCTTGTCCTGCCCCCCCCCCCCTCCCTCCATCCCACACCCTCACAGCTTCGTGCGGTACGTACCACACTCAGCATGCCCCACCCCCCTAAGGGGAACTCACTCGCCTGTAGTATTGTAGCAGCATTTTGCCTGATTACATTTTGCCTGATTACATTTTGCCTGATTACATTTGCTTTTATCACATTTTTAAAAAAATCTCTGTACAGAAAATGTAACACATCACTGCTAAAAATGGGCTTATGAGAATGCTTTTCTTTACGGAAAATAATATTAATTAGATAGATAGCGCTTTGAGCTCGCTTTTAACTTACATTAGTTTAGCTTCAAATATTGTCGCTTCAGGCAAAGTATATGAGATAATTGTTATTGAGATGAGATATTATTTTTAGGTTTTATATTATGAGAGTTTTCGAAATACTAAGTTAATACGTACTTAAAAGCTTCACTAGCTTATCGTGGAATATAACAAAAAAAAATGTTTGCATGGATTTGAAGCCTCGGAGTTCAATGACCGTATTTGCCGATGTTGCGCGTGATTTGTATCAGGATGGACGTGGATACGGTGCCTGAACATAGTTACTTTGTCCGTTTAGTGGTTTTCGTGGGTTCGAATCCATACGGGGCCGACTTGCCGAGCCGCACATTCAATGTATGCAGGTGTTGTATGATCAGCACTCGGCTGGTGTGGGACGTGGACATGTATGTGCGAGAAACACCTCTACATACACATTTATTTTACACACTGACACGCTTTGTACTCACTCGTACATACTCTCACATATACACACACCCACAATAAGCCACACACACATTAGAAATCACGCTTACATTATCTCTCTAGCGCATTATCACACACATGTTCACATCTATAGACACAATATAACACACCAGCGCACGTCCCCCCACACACTCATACACACACACTATCTTTCACAACATCGCATATTCATAGCCACAAACAATCACGCTAACAAAGACACACACAAGGACAAACAAACACATTGAAACAAATATACATCAACTCAATCTCTCACACACGCATACATTCTTACACACAAACCCCCTTACACTCACACATACACTCTTTTTATACACACACACACACACACACACAAACATTCTCTCGCAATCACGCAAACACCTAATCCTCCTCTGAATCATATACAGAAACCTGAGATATAGAATGATAATGTCTACCATACTTGAAATTAAAACTCCGACATTTTAACTGCCTCTTGATGATTAACGTCGGTTAATTATTTAGCTCAGAAACGAAATACAATATTTTGTTTATCAAGACAACCTCCCCACCCCTCTTTAATAGAACAGTTGAGTCGAGATTGATGAAAAAAATCATCTTGTGTGATAGTTTACATGATTGGTAGTCTGGTTGTGTTGGGTGATAAAAGCGTCCTTTAGATAGAGGTGGGTGGTTTCTCAAAGACATCAGTGGCCTATACAAAGATTTGTAACCTGACACGTTATATAGATGATTGACAAGTATGAACAGAGACATACTTAATATCATTGGTGTGATATACATTTATATATATACATATGTATATATATATATATATATATATATATATATATATATATATATATATATATATATATATATATATATATATATTTATATATATATATGTAAACACTTATATATAAATACACAGATATATATATAGACACACACACACACACATATATATATATATATATATATATATATATATATATATATATATATATATATATATATATATATATATATATATATATATAGGGCGATTGCTGTACTGATACATGAGGATAGAGGGAGAGAGAGAGAGAAATCAAACGGTTATGTGTACATTGTGTTGTGACACTTTTGGACATATGATCCACTTAATTAATCAAGATCATTAAAATTTTGACTTGTTTACCAGGACTTTCTACCACCTCACTGTAGCATATTTCTAAAACATACGGTTATATTATCTTTACCACACTGTGAAAAAATCAAATCCGCGTGGGATGTTTTTGAAAGGCTACTGAAGTTTTTGAAAATCAATATTTTTTAATCAATTCTAATAACATTACGTGAATGGCCTTTTCAAAAGATGACATTAGAGTGTGCTCGAACCGTTTTTTGTCTGTGGTATTGTTTGTGTTGGTTAATTGACAAACTGGTTTGGCGGTTTTAAACGCGTTTTGGTTTAACAGGGTTCTATCGGCATAAAGAACCGAAAGGATCATAACTCTTTAAACCCTACACCCCTGGTGACATAGGTATGAAGTTCATATTGTAGAAACATACCACCTTTAAATCTGAAACTTTCAACGGTGCTAATGCCCCTCTACTTTATTTTGTTAAAATGATCTCCACGATGAATTTTGAGTCGTGATAAATCCACATAACTTTGTATGCTCCAACCAGGGGTCTCCAAACTACGGCCCGCGGGTCGAATGAGGACCGATAGGTCCTTTCATCCGGGCCGCGAAAATCTTTTTGTCCACGGAAAAAAAAACTGTTGCTGGGTGTGGCTGAGGAACTTTGCCAAATAAATTCAAAACTATTTGAAAATGTAGCTTTGGGTGTTGCAGAAATTGGTGAAAACATTGTGAATCAAATGTCGAAAAATGCAAGCAAGTTTCGCCGTTTTTCTATTGCTATGGATGAATCGCTGTATAGCTGTTCCACCTGTCAACTGCATGTGTTCATTAGAGGTGTAGATGAAGACATGAACGTAACACAAGAGCTGGGGAGGGGGGGGGGGCTCTGACACCCCAATGAGATGCATGAAAGAAACTGGCCCCCTAACTAATATTTGATAGTTAATGCGGCCCTGGGAATGGAAAGTTTGGAGACCTCTGCTCCAAACTAACTCTTTGTGGCAATATTACATGGTTTATCAGCATAATGCGAGCTTGCTAGACCGTAAGTCGCAAGTTTGGTACCCGAACTAGAGTCCCTGTATCTTTGTTAGACCGAACCACCTTACAGTAAAACAGTTGATGTGGTACCCCAGCAAAATTAGTTGAGAAGTGTAATTGATTGGGGTTCCTAGTGTCTGGAATTTTAACAGGGGATGTACCCTCTTCTATCTCTTCTTGTTGTCTGAGTATGTAGGGGAATCAGTCAAGCTGACGGGGCCCGTATACGGCATGTTGCTGAAATATTATCCAGATTGTTGGACATTTTTAACACTGTCGTGCGCCGACCTGGGTTCGATACCACCCTACACTACCTTGTTCTATCCACCACGTGACGTCACCCCCCCCCCCTCCCCCCCGGTTTTCTGTATTTTTTCTCTCCCAGCCCGCCTGTAAGTTAATTGAAGAAATCCGGAGCCTTCAAATTTTAGAAATCAATCCTTCTAGGTTCACTTCAATTTAATTAGACCAGGGGAGGCTACGCAGCCACCGGTCCCTGTAGCTACAGCTGGGTTACTGCCCCTGCTTGTGTTTCGCTTAATCTTGAAATTGAATTGCTGTCAATACAACGTGTTACTTGCTGGATGGGCGGATCGTTACATCGAAAGTTAAAGTCTTGTTTTTGTCTAGTTTTATCAAAAGTTAAAGTCTTATTTTTGTCTAGTTTTAAAGATATAGTCTTGGTTTTGGCTGGTTATATCAAAATTTAAGTCTTGGTTTTGGCTGGTTATATCGAAATTTTAAGTCTGGTTTTGGCTGGTTATATCAACATTTTGAGACCCGTTTTTGTCTGGTTTCTAAACCGTAGTTTGTTTGGCAAATCTATTATTGGTATGTCTCCGCATTAATTTAATTAATTAGTCTAATTTCATTCAAATCAAAACCATATTTTGAGTGACATTGTTTCTTAAAAGTTGAGAATCCCGTTTTATGGGTACCCTTACAATCTCCAAAATAAACAAAAACACTCCCCAGTTTTTATATTTCCTGTAGCTATTTACAACCTCCCCCCCCCCTATCCCGTTGAATATCATTACCCAAACAACACCTATCCTGCCAAAACGAAAGCATTAGCTCAACCCCCTCCAATCCCATACAGGCTAATTAGCCCCAAAACACCCAGTCCTGTAAAAATCATTAGCCCAGCCACCTCCAGTAGCGTAAAATAATCATTAGTCCAGCCACCTCCAGTAGCGTAAAATAATCATTAGTCCAGCCACCTGCAGTAGCGTAAAATAATCATTAGCCTAGCCACCCCCAGCAGTATAAAATAATCATTAACCTAGCCACTTCTAGTAGTATAAAACAATCATTAGCCCAGCCACCTTCAGTAGTATAAAACAATCATTAGCCCAGCCACCTTCAGTAGTATAAAACAATCATTAGCCCAGCCACTTCCAGTAGTATAAAATAATCATTAGCCCAGCCACCTCAAGTAGTATAAAACAATCATTAACCCAATAAAAAAAACCCAACTTTCTCCTGCAGATGTCTACAGACCTACAGCTAATTAGAATAAACTCCAGCATCTCAGACTGTACTTACT